CGTGCGCGCAAGCCATTCTTACACGCGCTCGGACTGGCTTGCGATACCCACACCGTCAAAGACAGTATGCCGCAATGCTATAAACATGAGGGTCCACAGCGACTCTACGTCTCTAACCATGGCGGAAATCGTTCCACTCGTCCAAATTCAAAATGAGGGGCCTTGGGAAATGCTAGTTTTCGACATTTTCGCAGTTTTAAAAGATTTTCGGGATCAGCGCTTCGAATTACCCCAGATAAGCGAAAAAACCGCAGGTTGAGGACTTGCCGAGCCACTGCCTCTAAGACACGGTTTGGAAATTTCAACGGGCTTGCTTCAAAACTCCGAACCTTGAGTAATTTCCTTTTCCGATTTTTATCTCCGCGACCAGAGCATAGAAGAGAGCAGGCAAGGTGTCATCAGAAATTACCTGAGCTACTTTTTCCAGCGGTACTTTTCCATGCAAGACTATCGTGACAGAAGGAAGCTATAATTTTTCAAAAATGGTGCGACAGAGCTTTCGGTTCGATCTAATGATATTTACTAATAATATTTACTTTCCATAGTTATTCAGATATTCTACATTACTGTATATTCGCATACAACTTTGGACATACTTTAATAATTGAGAGGAGTTAGAAGGAGAGGACCATATGTTTGATACGAAGTAAATGTTTCTTTATTTAGGTTGACATGGTTGAGCTGTCAAAAAGAGTGTAGATTTCTTACAAACACTGAATCAAATCATAATTATTAGGGGACATACTCGACTGGGAGGGAATCAAATGCGAGCCCATCAACAAATCGCGAATGCTTTTCAAAACTGCTAAACATATATTGGGAGCCCTTCTCTCCAGGATGCTATTCCTTTTTCTTCGCATGCATTCAAGAGGTGTAGCGTGGGAAAAGGAGGCCTCACAAAAATACTCAGAAAAGATGCACGACTGTTTAAAATCAAAGCTGAGGGACCTGGGTGTTGGTTCAGAGTTCAAATAAGCACGCCGCGGGGTACTGGGAGATGGGCGAGGATAGATAAACATTAGATAAACATTAGTTACAGACACCTAAACTTACTAAGGGCCGCATGCATTAACGTCCCCGCTATGGAGGGGATCGCAGCTTAGAAGAAAGCTTCAAAACCTGAAGCTCCAGGTATCCGAGTTCTAAGCTTCTACCCATCCGTAAGTACTCCTACTGTCCTTCACTATGGACATATTGAACAGGAGCAAGAAGCCGCACAAGCCGCACTTTTCAGCTTTTAGTACCAACCCCTGATGTTCAGCGCGCGACCGTCTTTTCTTCAAAGTCATTTTTCTTTCTTCGAAATTAACGAAAGCATTCAAAAGTTGTATTGACTATCTAATCCAAAAGTGCGAAGCGCGTTGCTGATAACGACAAACGAGTTTTTCAAATATCGATTTTTTCGATAAACCCCAACTTACGATTTGTGGTTCACCGCAAATTTCATGACTTCGAAACATCACTTGTTCTTACCACAAACATGATTAGCACCGCTGGATTAGATAAACAGCACAACTCTGAAATGCTTTTACTGACTCGGCCGGCCGCCGGGGATCATTAGGAGATCATACAAAAAGCTGGAATATGCGGCTTGTACAGCTTCACTCCTGTTCAAATGTTCATAGGGAAGGATAGTAGGAATATTTACGGATAGGTAGACGGACGGTTCCCAAGATTTTTGCGCTGGCGCCAGCCACGCCCCCGACAAAAATTTTTTTATAGGGCTAAATTGAATTTTTAAATTTAAAAATTATTTTAATTATTTACAAAAATAAACAGCTCAATTGCACATTTTTATAACTCATGTACGTAATAACTTTCAAAAATTTCGCGACCCATTCTCGGGGGGGGGGGGCGCCTCCCCACTTGGTACGCCACTGGCGGCTATCGTTAAAATTAGGTTGTCCCGAGAGTTTTGTCGGTTTCTTCAAACCGCTATAAAACCACGCACAATGAAGACCTAAATGAGTTCCAACATACATTCGATGCAGCTTTTCCCTCTTATTCTTGAGGTTACATTCAAGAGCCAAGATCTTGTATGGTTATTGTCACAAATCTTCACTCGCCATTTTTATCTGCTCAAAGTTAGGCTAATTTTTAAAAATTTCATTCCAAAGTTTTAGAAAGGACTAGGCATGGCACAGATAGATTAATTCTCGGGCTGTACGGTAATATTTTTAAATTCTCCTAAATTGCTGTTTCTAGCTTTAGAGAATTATTTTTTCGGTGGTCTCGATTTCTGGCAAAACCATGGAAAACGTAACTGCGGCAAAAACATGAAAGCTTTCGGAATTTTTGCGAATTGAAACTTGATTGCTGATAAACAATAATTATGCAACAATTCCAAGTTTAATTTGCTTTGAAAAATCAGCTTTTTGGAATTTTTGGTAATTTTACGTGGTGACGTAATAAAAAAGCCGTGGTTTTTCTTAAATAAAAAATTATTTAGCACTTGATAAACGTGGCCCATGTAATCTTATATATAAAGCTGAATGTCTGTTTGTATGTCTGTATGTATGTATGTATGTATGTGTGTACGTATGTTCCGAATAGAAAATTCCATTTCTGAACCGATCCGGACCAAACTTGGCACACATACACTACGGGCCCCGGCGGGTGTCATAGGCTACTTTTCGTCATCGATCGATATCGATTTTATTGATTTTTATCGATTTTTTTGCTGAGTTCACCTACGGGGCTGGGAGTTGGCACAGGGGGGTAGTCGAGCATGGGGATTCCGAATACAATATTGGTTTTCAAGATTATCGATTACTTTTATCGATTTTATCGATTTTTTTGCGAAGTTTGAGCTACGGGGCTGGGAGTTGGCACAGGGGGGTAATCGAGCATGGGGATTCCAAATACAATATTGGTTTTCAGGATTATCGATCACTTTTATCGATTTTATCGATTTTTTGCAAAGTTTGAGCTACGGGGCTGGGAGTTCGCACAGGGGGGTAATCGAGCATGGGGATTCCGAATACAATATTGGTTTTCGGGATTATCGATCACTTTTATCGATTTTATCGATTTTTTTGCAAAGTTTGAGCTAGTTTGAGCTAGTTACACCCCTGTGACAACTCCCAGCCCCCTAGCTCAAACTTTGCAAAAAAATCGATAAAATCGAAAAAAGTGCCAAATTCCAGCCCCCTAGCTCAAATTTTCAAAAAATCGATAAAATCGATAAAAGTAATGGACGATCTTGAAAACTAATATTGTATTCGTAATCTGCATGCTCGATTACCCCCCTGTGCAAACTCCCAGCCCCGCAGGTCAAACTTTACAAAAAAAATCAATAAAATCCATAAAAGTAATGGACGATCCTGAAAACTAAGATTGTGTTCGTAATCAGCATGCTCGATTACCCCCTGTGCAAAATCCCAGCCTCGCATGTCAAAATTTACAAAAAATCGATAAAATCAATGAAAGTAATCGATAATTCTGAAAACTAATATTGTATTCGGAATCCCCATGCTCACTTCCCCCCTGTGCCAACTCCTAGCCCTGTAGGTGAACTCTGCAAAAAAATCGATAAAAATCGGTAAAATCGACATCGATCGATAACGAAAAGTGGACTGTGACACCCGCCGGGGCCCGAAGTGTATGTGTGCCAAGTTTGGTTCGGATCGGTTAAGAAATGGAATTTTCTATTCGGAACATACGGCGGAGCCGGGTATGCCAGCTAGTCTAAAATAAGTATAATGTAGCCGAAGAATGGCTCTATATAACAGTTATTAGCGCTTTTGGAAAGTAATAGGAGAAAATTTTTTAAAATTCAGAAAAGATTTGGCGTTACTGCTGAGCTGCTCAAAAAGTCATGGCGATAACATTGCGAAGACTGGTTAGATCAGAGAACAAACATAGCTGTAAGAAAGAGGATGAAAATCTGAATCAAATGATACCTAGACCTTCCTTGAATTATTGTTCTGTAGGTTTTAGTGAGCGATGGAAAAAACCGACAAAACTATCGGGACAACCTAATACAATAAGCGATAGACAAAAAATCGCTGCGCTCCACCGGAGTCATCGACATCCGCGTCGCATCGCCATATCTTGGTTTAGAGCGGAAGAGTTCAGAATCCAAGGGCACCTTTCGGCCCAGCTCGACGAGGCGCATCCTCTGGTGTACAGAAGCGCCGTTGGTTCAGATATATTTATTTAAGCTCCAGTGGAGACTGACATCTGCGTCGCATCGCCATAACGTGATTGAGTATTGAGATTGAGTATTTGACAGAGTCGGTATAGATATTCGGTCGTTCAAATACTTTGTTTGATAATACATACGATTCAAAATCTTCATTCTAAAAATATTCGCTATTCAACCCAATCGACATTTTTTATCTTAGAAGATATATCGATATTTTCAATTATTACACATTTTTGACTTTGGAAATATTTGATATTTGAACCTCATTTTCTATTTTTGAAAACATTCAGATTCAATTTTCGATATTTTGATTTTCGATATATTCGGTTACTCGAAAAGATTCGAATTCCACAGGGTAGCATACAGTGGGGCCAATTTTGACGTGAGCCGCGCCTGATCTGCGAACTCCTAAAGGCACCGTCCACCCAGATTCTCGACTTCCATGTGTCGTTTGGTGGCCTTTTGTTCCTGATTCCGAAGAATATGAAGTCAAGAATCTGCGAAAACTCCGACAATCCCTATTCCGGAGAACCCGCAGCCGGTTGTCCAGAACGGTGGTTGGATGGGCGCGCCGAAATGGGCGGGCATCACTTGAGGGGGGTCTCCGCTTGGGGTCCACATCATCTACGCTATTCCCAAACAATTTTCTCGCTTCCGAAGCGACATTTTGCGCCGCGACTTAGGCATTGGCTTAATAAGGGGTCCAACTATCGTAAGCCGCCAAAAGCTCAAGACTTAAGAGTGCGGTGCCTTTAAACTGAAGTCACAAATGATAATGTGTTGAGATTTGCACATAAGAATCGAAGCACAAAATCTGTATGGATCTCTTGTCAGACGTTGGCAAAAAACTTACCTCCTCTGATTTTTCTAGAAAATGACAGCCGATGAGGTTGCTTTCGTACTTTCTTTTCACTATTTTTCTCCCTAATCTGCTCCCTAAAGTAACACGAAACGCCCGAAGTTGATGAATGCCGTAGGTGGATTAGGTGTCTTACCATTCCCATGGCGGCTTTGTAAGTCTGAGTGGCCATATGTCGGCAATAGAGTCGAATCGTCATTTCTTGACAAACTGCATTTACCAAGAGCTCTGCTTTCCGTAGAGATAGCGTTTGCTGTACGCCGGTCGAGTGCTGATCTCAGCAAGTTCCGATCTCCACTAAAGATTGCTTCATTCCGTACAAAATAAAGACTTCGCTCTTGTAGCACTAAGACTCCACCTACAAGTAGTTCATTCTTGTAGGACATTCGATGCCATTCGAACAAGACGTTCGGAGCAGTAAAGTTTTGCGGAATTAACGTACCTTTTGCACTGATCATTTTGGTGATGTCGGCTCCCGCATCGAGATAGATAGTTTGCATATAAACGTCGTTGTCAAAAACTTCGATGCGACTTCCATTTGCTGAAATGCAAGATAGCACGAGAAAATTATATTAGGGTGATCACTAAAAAATGGGACAGCTTGATTTTTGTCAAATTTTGAGATTTTTTGTTTCGATCAATAACAAGCAGGCTGCAACGTAAACGTCGCTTATATAAGCGACCTTCGCCTATTATTCTGGCAAAACGTCAACGCTCCTCTCCCACAACCCTACGCGTGGCGCCCTGAAGAACTCGAACAGGGTTTTTTGAACCTCGCTCATTCTTGCGCTGCCATACCGCAAAGTTATAGAGCAATTGATATATCATTCGAAAGAGCTGTTCATGCTCTTTCAAACATTATATGAAACATACAGAATTTCTTTCTATTTCTGGTTAAAAAAAGCGAAATACCTGGAAAATCGCGATTTTTTGGCGCAACAAACACCAGTAAATCAAGTTTCAATCTGTATTTTCCGAAGATAGATAAAATGTGAGGTAAACTGCATATGGATGGATAGAGCGTAAAAAGCTCTTTCAGATGGTACATATAGAACGTGCGTTCACCTGCAAACACTGAATAGCACGTATCTTTTGTTCTCAAAGCTGCTAATGGCCATATCTCCTGAATTTGAAAGTCACCAGCAACCCATCGTGGGTCTGGTGACTGTACCTTCACGCATTGCAGCAGTAGTACTTTTGGTTTCGCATGTTTCACTGCGCAGATACTGCTCGAAGTTTACAATTTGTCAAAGTGACTAACTTTGCATTTCAGCCACTACAAAAATTAATAGTTATGTGAATGACCTTATATAGGTATTTTCTAAAAGAGAATAATCTATTCTAACATCTATCAAAATTGGGAAGTTTAATCATTTTTCTTCTTTGAGAAATCTACATTTATTATCTAGGTGTCCCATTTTTTAGTGATCACCCTGATATAATGGTGTGTTTACGCGAACTAATTTGTCTTTGGCCGTATTCATCAACGAACCCTGAGGGTTAAACTTACCTCCAGGGTTAGTTTAACCCTCAGGGTTCATTGATGAATACGGCCATATTCATCAACCATAGGGTAGGGTTTACGACGGAACGCGATCCACCCGTATCGATCAACGAACCTGTGGTCGTATCAACGAACCCTGAGGGTTAAATTAAGCCTGGAGGGTTAACGCGGGTTACCCTGATGAATCACGTAAGTTCTACCCTCCAGGGTTAGTCTAACACTCAGGGTTCGTTGATGAATACGGGTTAATCGCTTTCGGGGTAAGGTTTACTCTCAAGGGCAGATTTAACCCTTACGGTTAAGCCTACCCTGTGTTTCATGAATACGGGTTAATCGCTTTCCAGGGTTAAATAACCCTCCAGGGTTAGTTTAACCCTCAGGGTTCGTTGATGAATACGGCCACAGTTTTGCAGAGAAAAGTGCGCATGAGTGGCACATCCACCAACCCTTTTTTTTCCAAAAGTATCTCGCTCGCTCTCCCTCACTCCCCAGAAAAAATTTTCCGAACTGTTTCCGCCGGGAGCGAAACTACTTTCAATAAATGAATCAACGATTTGATGAAAGCTGATTCCTGATGAAAGATTATTAAGATCACGGTCGATTTATTATGCGAGGCGGGTGTGTACGCACATATGTAGACACCAGTTCAAAGCGCCGCTTCGCGGCGCTTTGAACTGGCTGTGTGTGTGAAGCAGGATGTGACTAAAAGTTAAGACTTTTGAATTTTTTAGCAAAAGAGCGAATTTGTACACGTCGAACCCAGAGGCCGTTAAAGACAAATAGTCGCAAATCCTGGTCCTCTGCGGGTTTTTCCAAGCTGCTCTCCTCCTCCCCTCCTCCCCCTCCCCGCCTCCTCATTCTCCTACACAAAAGTTAGTGCATATGAAAGTGCCTGAGCTACTGATCTCTCTCGCATTCCCACTCTCCAGCCCTAAAGCACTGTAATGGAAATGTCAATTTCATGTTTACAGCGGGTCCTCATCCGCAACGCTTTAGTAAGTCACCGCGTTGAGACCTGTGTTCCTTCATTTTCACAATCTCCCGAGCTGCTGTAAGCGCGCAAATGCAGCGACTCTTTGCGTTGGAGCCGATTTCTTTCAACGTTTTGGCTAACGATTGAGATATACTGTAGTCGCCAAAATTTATTTTTCCTACATCTAGCGAGGATCCTCGTATGCTGCAAAACTTTAGACCGAAATGGCCTTCTCGCACTCACAAAAAATTCCTCACAGTAAATGTCCGTCCTAAACTGCGTTAGTATAATACTACCACTTCCTCTGGAATTTCTGCTCTTATTTCTCCGCGAAATTAAATCAGAAAAAATTTGAGTCAACATTTCTTGAAACATCTGGCCAACATTCAACCTTCCAAATTCAAAATTTCACAGCTAAAGTCCTCTTTCTCTTTGCAAAATTCTTTTTTGGAAGCGGCAAAACATCTCACTATTAATATTCTCCTCCGGTTTTACAAACTGCCCAACACCCTTGCAATTTCATCAAAGTTCTTCAAAATCACTTCAGGCTTATCTTAACAGGCTCATGTAAATTCTATAGGGAGACCTATTATCAAAAGATGTTTATGTTGTCATCTGAAGCAATTTTTCGTTGCTACAATTTCGAGATTTCTATATTTTGACAAAACTGCGCTGAAAATTCAAAAACTTCATACTTCTTATACTATAATTTTAGCTGATGGTTGGTGACGCCAACTTGCATTTTATTTTGTATCTTACCCATAGCTGAAAGATTAGCGAATTCAGCATAGAGCTTTCTTGAAAAACTTCGATTACGACCGCAATGACTTTCTTTTACATACTTTCGAACTTCGGTTTTGGTGAATATCCGAAAATTCAGAGGTAAAGTTCTTTTGTTAGTACGTATGCTTCCCTAGCTAGGAGAACTTTTGCGCCCAAGTTTGAAGAAGTTTCAAAGCGATTGGCGTCACACGCTGTTACCTTTTGGAATAATGTTAAAAGTCCCGACAGTTGTGAGATGTCACGGATAGAACCGTGTTCGCGCTTTATTATGGAGTACGATACTAAATTATCCAAAAACGGACAGATTCGTTGTGGTTTCTTCCTAAGAGACACTCAGTTAGCATTTGACATGAAATTTGGGAAACTGCAACTTTCTTGCTGAAATTTTAACAACAGAAATCGTGCTGAAAGGAAAAAAATTAGCGAGAATTTTCCCAAAACAGCTTTAGTGCGGATTGTTCAATTCAGAAAGTATTTACGCATTTGCTAAATGAAGTTTTACGATTTTTTTTAAAACGGTTTTATCGCAACTTCCAAGCAACTTGATGGAAAACTTGGGGAGACAACAACTTTTTTTCGCCAGAATATCTAGCAGATTTTCTTAGACTTACGGTGCATTTTCAAAGAAGTGCTCCTGAAAAAAATCATGGGTAGAAGTTATGCTCAAGGAGAGGAGTCAAAGTGCGAGAAGCTTGCAGAAAAAAGATTCGACGATATACCACTTACGCAAGAATTTTATGAATGCAGATCAAACTCAAATAGTCAGAGGGACAGACCAAGTTTACCAAGTACAGATGTGGTGCAACTTCCTTTATTTTAGAAGAAACACAGTAAGCAGTGTGGAATTGAACAAACAACGGTGCTTCTTTCAACTATCCTGTTATTCGTATAAATTAGGTTTACGACAAAAAAGAAATAATATTTTCCTTTTTTCTTGCATAAAGAGAAAAATATGATAACAACATGGCATTAGATAATGTAATTCACAAACTGAGGATCATTGTGACCTACCTGTTTGCTGTTAATATCAAAATCTGTTAGTGTATTGTATGTGAAGCAGAATTGATGACTGACGAAACTGAACTGACCCGTCTTAGAATCTACAGTGTTGCCAGCATTTCATAGACTGCACTTACTTCGATAAACCGTAAACATATCAAAAACCATGACTTTCGTATATGGTCGCGGTGATAAACCGTAAACATATCAAAAACCAAGACTTTCGTATATGGTCTCGGTGACACCATTCTTTTCGTACAAGGTCGTGATGCGAAAGGGCAACTGTACTTAGTGCACTGTGTGGTAGCTCATTTACGAAAACACGTCTGCAGTGGCAAGGTACCAAAGATCGCTGGTTGCAAACATCCACGATGAGTCACATGGGGGTGCTTGCGCTTTATAGAGAGTATGACCAGCATTTCATAGACTGCACTTACTTCGATAAACCGTAAACATATCAAAAACCATGACTTTCGTATATGGTCGCGGTGATAAACCGTAAACATATCAAAAACCAAGACTTTCGTATATGGTCTCGGTGACACCATTCTTTTCGTACAAGGTCGTGATGCGAAAGGGCAACTGTACTTAGTGCACTGTGTGGTAGCTCATTTACGAAAACACGTCTGCAGTGGCAAGGTACCAAAGATCGCTGGTTGCAAACATCCACGATGAGTCACATGGGGGTGCTTGCGCTTTATAGAGAGTATGATGATCGAGCTTATTTCATCACTGTAGCTCGTACGCCCGTGCACGCCTTGCTTTCTTACGCAACCGCCGCCAGGGACTAACAAGGGAAGGATACTTGGTGACCGTGGCCTTATGTAGCGACATGTTCATCAGTAGATGCGCCTTGAAACGCTGACTCTGAATCCATCTTCGATATCTGCTGTACGACTCTCTGAACGAAATTATGCACTTTTTTCCACATTAATTTCACGGTATCTAGGCAGTCAAAATCGACAATATCTTGGCTTTTTGGACTCTGATATATCGGAGACAGTTTTCCTGAGCTCAGCGTAAAGCTTTATTTTACTTAGACGTTCTTTTATAGCGCGTAAGTGATTCAAACAATATTGGTAAATCCTGTCATAAAAACACAGCAAATTTTAGTGGCAAAAATGCTCATAACTTCTTTCGGAAGAGCGCACAGCAGATAACGAAGACAGATTTGGAATCAGCACTTCAAGTTGTATCCAATGTATACGTTTAATCTCAAAGGGCCACGGTCACCAAGTATCCTGCCCTTGTAAGCTTCATGAGTATTAAAGGCAGTGAGTAT